ACACACACACACACACCACAATATAGGAGGAGGAAGAGACAGAGATTGCTAAGATATAAAATGGTTTTCTTTATAGTGTGAAGGCTGTTTGTTATACCTTGAACATCTCATTGGGTAGAACTGAGCAATGGATGCTCGGCAGGTTAAGAAGGTTCTCATGGTCTTTAGCAGTCCTCCAAATGGCAGTTTACAGATATGGAATCTCACTGTGTCTAAATTGCCACTTGGATTGGCAGCTCACAAAGTCCCTGCTTCAGTGTGCATGTCTTCTGGGCCTGCAGTTGGATAAGCTCCATGCTACCAACACACCACACCTCCACTCTGTATTGCCACTGGATGACCAAAGCCATCCCAAGTGCACGATGTTTACAAATCATCACCTCCGCCATAGCTCAGGAACTCCTCAGTATTTACTCTCTGAATTAATGGAATGCTACTGCCACGTAGCTAGTTGCCAAGGTCTGTAAACTGGAAGCCATTCAAAAATCCACCCTGTCCTGTGCATATAACAGTTACTCACCTACTACGATGCTTTTCATCTGTCTATGTCATTATGACACATATTGTCACAACCAAGATCAAGGAAACTCCAATCTTCCACTGAACTTATATTATCCAGTCCCCTCCCCCCATCTACCCAGTTCCCTCACTGAAGCTAGTGTAGACAGGTGTGGCCTTTTTCCCATCACTGTAGCAGACGCGCCCAACGACTTCTCATGCCTTCTCTTCTGCCTCCTGCCCTGTAATTTGTCCGTGACTCTGGATGCCTCTGCTTTTTCAGGAAATCATATGTTCTCATTGTAGCTTCCCTCCCTTCCTTCCCTACATGGTTGTTTCATACTCAGCCCTCACGTGAGGTCAACTCAGAGGTCCTCTACGAACAGCAAGGAGCAGTCCCCAAATGAGAATGAGCCTCACTTCACCTATTACAGAAATCCCTGTCCTTTGCTGTAAGCATTGCCTATAGTTTTAAGTTTGGGAAGGCAGCAACCAGTCTAGCCACAATGCAGTGTAGCCCTATAGCAGAGCTGAACACACACTGTTTGACAGAATAAAGTGTCTTAATTATCTTTATCCTAAGCCTCTCAACTAAAATAACCAACTTAAAAACAAGGCTGAGAATTTGAAATCAGTGTTTCATTTCAAGTAATATTTTTCTTTAGATTGTTTTTTCTCATTTCTTATTATCATTATTGTTCTCTGGGAGTCATTTTTGTTTTATTGACTTAGGTAGGGTGGCCATACTGGATGCTTACTGGGATGCCTGCATAACCTATAAGCCAATTCTTGTCTATTTTGTCTTTGTCTCAGCGTCTGTCTAAGTTCTTCCCAGAAGACTAAGATGAGTTGCAGACTTTAAGTGGATTCATGTGAAATATGTCATCCTTGGAGTTGAGAGCAGAAACAGCTCAGCCTGTGTACAGAGAAATTTGGTCTAGAGAGAACGGGGAGCAAGGAAAAGGGAGGAGAGGAAAGGTCCAGAGAGGAGGATAAGGGAGAGGCAGTGATAAGGAGAGAGGGAAGGAGAGGAGAGAGAATACATGAGAACAAGGGGGGAGAGAGAGGAGTCTGAGATTCAAAGGATGGGAGGGAGCAGGGAGAGGAGAAGGAAGGAAAGAAGAGGGGATGGGAGGGAGTGGAGGGGAGCGAGGGGAGGAGAGAATGGAGGGGAAGAGAGGAAGCAAAGGGACAGGGGGAGGGAAAGAAAGAGGAAGAGTGAAGAGAAGAGGGAAGTTAGGAGAATACCAGTGGGGGAGGGAAAACAGAAGAAAGAAAGGGAAGAAGGAAGGAAAAGAAAATGGAGAAGAGGACAAAATGGTAAAGGAGGGAGGAGAAAAGAGGACAGGACAGAGAGGAGAGCAGGGGAGAAGAGAGAGGGAAAAGCAGAGGAGAATAAAGAGAGAGGAGGTGATAATACATTCTAGGGCTTGATGAGTTCCTGTCTCTGTGTTGTCTTGAGATAGTTTTCACTTAAAAATTACCGTGTGTGTGCATGTGTGTGTGTGTGTGTGTGTGTGTGTGTGTGTGTGTGCAGGAGAATTGTCTGTATTCTGTCAATCATATTTTAAATAAATGCTGATTGGCCAAGCAGAAAGTATAGGCAGGAAAACCAGACAGGAAGTAGAGGTGGAGCAAAGAGAACAGGAGTGTTCTGGGAAGCAGGAAGCTCCCTCAGCAGTTCTGCCCAGACTACTGGAGAGGCAAGATGTAAACTGCCCAGCTGAGAAATGTATTGAGCTGTGTGGCTAACATAGAAAAAAATAATGGGCTAACATTAGTTATAAGAGCTAATAATTAGCCTGAGCTAATGGACCAATCAGTTTATAATCTTATGGAGTCCTCTGTGTAATTTTCTTTGGGGCTTGCCAGCTGTGGGGTACCGGGTGGGACAGATACCCCAACAAGCCAGCCCCCTCATGTTACATGTGTATGTGTGTGTGTGTGTGTGTGTGTGTGTATGTTGGCACACATGTAGATATCAGAGGACAACTTGAGAGAGTCCTTTAATCTTAATATAAATATTCCTTTTCTTGCCTAAGCCAGATTAATACACTTTGATTTTTAATGTGCTAGTGTATTTTAAATGATACTCTGGTGTGGGAAGTTCTTCTGTATATGTGTTGCTTTTATTAGTTAATAAAAAAGCTACTCTCAACCAATGGCTTAACAGTATATAACCAGGCTGAAGGATACACACACACACACACACACACACACACACACACACACACACACATATATATATATATATATATATATATGACGCTATGGAGCTGCCAGAGGAGAAAGACATGAGCCACCTACCTTGCCAGTAAGCCACAGCCACGTGGCAATACACAGATTAATAGAAATGAGATAAATTATGATGCAAGAGCCAGCCAATAAGAAGCTAGAGCTAATAGGCTAACCAGCGATTTAAATATACAGCTTCTGAGTGATTATTTTGGGGCTTAGCAGCAGGGAACAAACTAGCGGCCTCCTCCAACAACAATACTTGGTAAAACATTAATTTGAGTACACAGATAATTTCTAATAATTGTGGACTGGTACGTGAAAAACAAGATGTGCCTTCCTCACTTAATTCTTCTAGAGAAGACTGTAGCCTGTGGTGCATTCATCCCTTACAGTGGTAGCAACAGCACAAGAATGATCTGGAAAAGAGAGGTGCTGCTTAGCTTGCTGTCCTTGTGAGGAGAAATGAAGTGTGGAAGGTTGGATGAAGGTTCCTGCCAAGTGAGAAAACTCTACACCACTGCTGTAGTGAAGCAAAGACTCTGAAGCATGCTTTGAAAAGTAGAGTGCTGAGTTCAAAACTTGCACCCCTCAGCATCTCCCAGAGTTGGCCAATCAAAGCATCCAATGGATGCCAAGTCTTAAGCTTTTATAGGTAGGTTCAATAAGTACCTAGCATCCTTGCTAAGTTTCAGAACCCCAATCCAAACCCCACTCCCCTACAATTCATCCAGGTGTATTACGAAGCCCAGTCTTGGTTGCTTGCTGAGAGTGTGTGAAGAGAGACATGGGAAAGACTCTCAACTTACTCCACCCTCCTCCCCTGTACTACTCATTGGAAGGAATATAATCTGATGGGAAAGTTGTTTTCTGTTAGCCCCATTTGACCCTGGTTCAGCCTTCACAGGAATCAGGACACTGACTGTTTGATTGACACATCCTCTACTTCCTTGCCCTGTAGAAGGTACAGCCATTCCGCCCTTCAAGTTCTCTGTTACTACCAGTGAGGAAAGGATGTTTATGGCAGACATAATAAATAGCCATAACTTTCTCAATAATCTGAAATTGCAACATAAGAATTAGATCTCATTAATCACCTTGGCATAGTTGGAATAGAAACGACATGAGGGATCTTGAATTTTTAATCAGTTAAAACTAGAAAACATGTAGGAAACCCTCACGCCATCAAACTATGAACCATCATTGATTAGTATTGTATAGCTTAAGGAAACAAATGCTTCTTTGGCATTGCCACAGGTAACATTAACACACAGTATGGTTCCCGTCCTCTCTCAGACCACTATTACAGCTCGGCCAGTCCTATGAAAGGTCTCTGGAAAACCTATAAGAAAATATCATCTTTTTTGCATAATCTCAGAGGAGAGACCAAAGCTAAATAATTAAAAATCAAGGATCTATATTTGCCTAGTCAGCTTACTGAACATCTTCCTCAAATCAGAAAACATCCTACAGATGAAAACTACCAATTAGAAAAAAGAATGGCTTTAATAAATAATCAGAGTTGTCCACCAAGTATTAACGATTTCTAAGATTTATTAAGACCATCATAAAAAAAACCAACATAGATGTGACCAATGAGACATGAAACCAAAAAGTTTAAGGCTCTGATTGCCAAGCTGATCCTTTAAAACAAACCTATATTCTGCAAAATATGAATTATCTGCTTGTGATGTGTGGGTTGCCATGCACCCTCATTATGAAAAAGGTAATGAAGAAGAGCTTGTGTTTCCTATCATGAACCATTTCTTTCTTTCCCTATGTTAAACTAGTCAACCTGTCTTTGGAAAGGCCAGGAGTTGGTTGGAAAACATACTCTGAAAACATGCAACTTACAGAAAAAAAAATCGGTTATGCACCGACTAATGGTAACTCTGAGCTTAAAAGGGAATAACAGGTTAAAACAAATTGCTTTAGGCAGGTGTCTGAAGCCAGCCGAATGTCAATGGAGACCACATTACTTTGGGGTTTCAATGAAAACTTAGGTTGCACAGTTGACAAGCTTTATGTCCAAGGCAGCTTTTAAAGCCATCTTGACTTTCCAACATTGTCTCTTGACTATAAAGGGACTGTTTGTTTTGTCTTAAATGCCTGTGAAAGTCCCTCTGGAATCATACCAAAAAACCTGTGCCATGTTAAACTTGACCTTCGTCTTTTATGAGAGAAATGCTTCTGCATAATGTATTTTCCAGAGAATGGACTCTTGCCAGGAAGCAAGAACTCATGTGGGAAAAGACAGTGACCCTTACCTGGGTAATCATTCTTGTCTATGTCTGCATCTCCTCTTAGAGAAAAACCAAAGCCAGAAGGGATGGTGTGTGAGTCCCACATTCCCTGCAGAACTTGGGAAGGCTTGGTGTGTAAGCCTTTTGGGTTGCCGTTGTAAATGAGCACTTCACCTCTTTGGTCCTTGCCTGCAAAGGGCACGCCGATGGCGATGTCTACAGAGAACAAAGGAAATTTAAAGAATAATTAAATACAATCATAAGGCCCAAATGGCTTTTTGCATTTTCTAGAGGTTTCTGGAGTACTGTAGCAACAGAGACGCGCCATTGCCTCCTGTCAGCATGAGTGTCTGTTGAGAGTTCACGAGGTGCTGCAGGCAGCAGGTAGAAAGTAGTGAGATTCGCAAAGGCACTGTGTTTTTAAAGTCTGTGTTTCAGAGGAAGGTAATGGACACTTTGAATAGAGACACAATTAAGGAAATAGTAAAAGCAGTAAATGGTACAGAACATCTTTTTCAAAATTACTGATACAGTGGAGAGAGATGGCATTGTTTTAGATGGGGTGGTCAGACACTGTGTCACTGTGGCTAGCATCGATACTGAAATCTATGGTCACGAAGAAACCAAGCATGTGACTATTAAAAAGGAAAAGCACTTCCTCCCCTTCCAGAAGTAGCCAGAGATGGAAGGAGGGCAGCCCATCTGAGTAGCAGAGAAGGAAGAGCACTATTTTTATGGGGCCTCAATGTTGTACCTTGAAAGGTACAGCCAGGCCTTACCGTGTATCAGGGAAGGGGCAGATCAAGTAAGTTACCGTTTTAGAAATTTCTTCTTTCAAAGAACAAAAGCTCCATTCTCACAGAATGCTTTATTTAATAGTTCCCTAATCTAAGGAACCAAAGACAAAAGCCCATTTTATGATTAAGGGTATTAGGAAACTCAGATAGAAGCCATATTACCTAGCTCTCACCCAAATACAAAACATTTATCTCCTGCCATATGGGTCATCAGGAAAGTCCTGAATATTAAATAGAAACTGGTGTAGTTTAAAAAGAAGTTTCCAAACAGTAGCAAATGAGTTTGCCACATGAGGAGTCTCATTTGTTAGTGAAATGGCCCACTGTACATAATGAGGAGGTCTATAAATCCGGTTCCACTGACCTGCTGAAGAGAAATGCTCTAACAACTCCATTATAGCAAATACAGACATTGCCATGTGCTTGGTGGGCAGGACCACTTTGCGCACTCCTGCTAAGTCCATGACTTCCCAGCTGTCCCCAAGTTTAAGCCCAGCTAGCCTGGCATTCTTTGGCTTGTTTTGTGCCCCAGACCACCAAGGCTCAAAACCCAAGAGATTCTTCTCTTAAATTTTAAGAGCATCAGAACTGATTTAAGGGGAAAGACAGCAGAAAATAGGGTGAAAAAGACGGCTGACACAATTCGGCGTCATGCCTTGCTGGGGATAGCCGTCTTAGGAGGCAGCAAGCCAAGCTACTTCGAGAATTGTCTTTGTCATTCTCCCAGAACACAGCATTTAACATGCACTTGGTTTTCAATTCCAGAGCTTGAGTCAAGGGCCTCCCACATGCTAGGCAAGGGCTGTACTGTATCCATGACCTAAACATGTGCATTTATAGGACGTTCAACAACTACTCTTTACTGAGAAATACTTTAGTCAAAGAAATTCCAAAATACTTGGTACTGGTGCCTGTGACTACTCCTCTGATGGGATCCTCCCTATGCTAGTTAGGTATAGAAAATTCTTCTTAAAGCTTCTTCTTTGAATGATAAACACACTGTATCTTGGTTCTTCACCTACATGTCCTGAAAATGTTCACAAATTTTTATGTGAGCATTCAGTATTTTCTGAGACAGTATTTAAAAAGCATCTATGGATTCCTTACTTAAATAACAATACGCCCCATATAAGAATTTAATGCTATCATATTTTCAACATGGAAAGGGCCTTTGCAATGATATTGCTGACCAAAAATTAGCCTGTATAACAACCCATATAGTTTCTGGTTTGTTTTGTTTGATTTTGGAGACAGGGTTTGTTTCTCTGTAGCTTCGGAGCCTGTCCTGGAACTAACCCTTGTAGGTCAGGCTTAACCTCAAACTCACAGAGATCCTCCTGCCTCTGCCTCACAGATGCTGAGATTACAGGCATGTGTCACGAGTGCCTGACCATATGGCTCCATCAGAATACAATAATACATTTGCAAACTTACCAACATGTATTTAACTCCACTCTATTCATAGGCAAATTTCTATAGCTCTCAAGCCACCATTGAGAAATCATACACGGCAAAAATCTCTATGTTATATCTTAACTTTAATTAATCAAACCATACAAACTTAAATTTGTCTTGAGATTTTTCAGAATTTATTAAGGGTCAACAATAATAAACTGCCCCCACCACTAAGAATCTTTTAAGAGGCCATGGTTTTCTTCTTGCAACAGTAACACGGCCCTAAGATGCAAGCGAGTCCCATATATTGCTCTAATTACCGTTGTATCCATCTTGGTTCAGGTCCCCCAAGTGGGCCACAGCGCTACCGAATCTCCCAAAAGTCTCTGTGCCGGTGAGGACCTGTGGGTCTTGGAAGAGGAGGGCACTCACTTGTAGGTACAGGTAGACCTGCCCTACTTCTCGAGGATTACTTTCAAATTCACGGTCCATAAAGAGAGGTGCCCCGATCAATATGTCATCCATTCTGCAGGGAACAGAAAGAGGGGACAGTGAGTCACCTTGGTAGACAAGGTTTTCTGGTGTGCTTGTAATCAACCAGATGAGTCCTCTTCCTTTGGTGTGGTTCCTTTCCTGAGGGCCATTTTACAACCATCGGATTTCTTTCATAGCTTTGTTATGTCTACAGAGCAGAATGCTGGAGAAAAGAAAGGTTGTTAAATTATCACATTGAACTTTCCAACTATGCGAAAAATGACTGAGAAGCCACAGACATTTCATCCTTTCTGGCTTGTTAGTGCATTTCCAGAAACTTCGCACACATGGCAAACCTATCAAACAGACCTGAGTAGGTTTTAGTGTTTGAGGATACAAGAGTTTGTCTGTAATTTATTGAGCTGACCCTGACTTCTTGAAAGTCACAAGATTTCAAATAATTTTTGTCCTGTCCTTCCTTTGGTTAAATAAAAGAGGCCAGAGAAGTGATTAATGCTGGCTGGAACACAACTTTTTAATTCCTGATGAGATATGCAGTCATTCTGTATATGCCATAGCTTGAATCTAATAAAAGATTTTTTTTTAAGGATTTAGAGATGAGTTCTAACCACTGTGTGGATAAGAAACAAAAGTGGCTAGAGGGGTCTTCTTCACAGATGCAGACATCACTGAAGGGACGGGACAGGGAATTTTCTCTTTTGTCAGGAAACTTCTAAAGTATTTGATTTTATTTTTTTAAAAAGGTTAAGAAAACTCCTGCTAACCAAAATGCATACTTTGACCTCTCCGAATGAGCGCTGCTAAAGTATGTCTGAAGACAAGTCTATCTTGGCAGACATGCTAGTATGAAGTTACAAGTTTACCTTTGACTCCTGTGTCTATGCAGCTCAACGTTGACGTTTGCCAAGTTACCTAATTACCTGAATGCTTTCAGTCACATAATTTAACTATATATTACTACGATATTCCTACTAATAGTAAACTATTAATACAGCAAGTATATTAATATCATATACAGTGTGATAATAGCAATGCTTTGGTATGTTAGTATAAATATATTAAAGTGATATTAATATATGCCATAATTATAATATAATTTTTAAAAAGGAATGGGGTGGGAAGCTATTTAAAGCCATATACTTTATTCTTTCTCTCTCCCTCTTCGCATTTTTATTCTTCCCTCCTCTTTCCCCTCTCCCCCTCTTCCCTCTTTCTCTTATTTTCTTCCTTTATTTCTCCCTTCTCTCCCCATCCATTCTGCCCTCCTTTTCCTCTATCTTTTCTTTTTTGACAGAATCTCCTTCGTAGCCCAGGCTGGCCTTGAACTCATGATCTTTCAATCTCAGCCTCCCAAACACTGGAGTTATAGATGTGCACCACCATGTCCAGCTTTAGAGCCAAAATCTTTCAGAAGCTCTAAGTGGTGTGACCGATTCACTGTACTGACTTCACTGTCCTGACCTCTCCCTGAATTTGGAGCTTACCTGTAGTAGCAGTTCACCATCTATTTCTCAGGACTGTTTTCCTACTGCTGGTCTATCTTGTCCAACTTGGATGTGACAGTTTTTATTGTACCTTATTATATCTTATGTATTTAAATGAATGAATGCAAGCTTTGCTGCTAGGGTAAAGGTTAACAACTGACCTATATTTCCTGGAAGAGGGGGAATCAGTTTTCTTTAATAAAGTGACGCTGGGTATATCAAACACTTTAGGACAGGCCTCATATAGTTGACCAATATACAATGAGTTTCATATTATGTGTGCGCTTTTGTTTGGCTAAAGTTTGGTGGGGTTTTTTGTTTGTTTGTTTTTATTTTAAATGTGGTTTTATTTTGTTTTCTTGGTTTGGGTTCTTTTTGATGTATTTGCTTTTTTGAGAAAGAACATAAAGTAGGGTCGTTTGGGAAGGGCACAGGATCTGGAAGAACCTAGGGAGGGGAAATAACATGATCAAATTATTTTTAAAATTAAAATTGTTTTCAATAATAAAAACATATTAAAGCAAAGAAAAAGTGTATCGTGTACACCTGCTAGGTTTAAGACTATAGTGAATAATCTCAAAAGAATACAGTGCTGAATATTGGGTCAAGTCAAAACTTGAAGAGGATATACTTTCAACTTATCACTCATATAATCACAAATAAAGCAACTTGAAAAAAATAAAATTCGGATCCAAATTAGTGCTGAGGTTATGGACAGAGGAGAGGCTGGTGCTCAGAAGGAACAAAGGACACTGACATGTGGAAATCTACCGGATCTGGAAGGAAGCGTTCCAAATGGCTATGTTGAGAGTGAAGGAAGGTACCAATGAGCAGAGTCAGAGAACACTGAGTGGTTGAGGTGAGCTCCGTGACTTGAGCATTCTAGTGTATTCAATTGGAAAGATAAAATGTATTAGCAATTCTTTGAATTCAATAATTGAAAGATAATCATGTATACCAATATTATATATTCTAGTGTTATTGTATGTAATATTATGTAACACCATACGTTATTTTATGATGTTATATTTATATAACATATAATAAGAACTGTAAGCCAAAACCTATAAAAATTGGGCAAAATATCTGAATAGAAACCTTCTCAAAGAAGATACACAGATATGAGAAGACGTTACATATCATGTCATTAGGAATTAAAAATTTAAATAATGAAGCACTACTGTAGATTGCTTGGAACAGCTGAACTCCAGATGCTGCTACTGCCGAAAGTTAGTGTGGCTCTGGCAATATGCAAATCAATACAGCTGCACGGAAGCAATCTAGCAGGTCCTGCAAAGCTACACATAGGATGGTCACATATGATCTCACATATGATGATCTCACATTCTATTTGTAGTCCTCTTTAGTTTTCCAAGTGAACTTGATATTTAATGCCCACATGAAAATCCGCAGGCAGATTATGGCAGCATCACTGCTAACGCTTAGGAAACAACCAAGATGCCCTCAAAAGCTGTGTTGCATCATCTAGCAGAATATTCATCAACAAAGGAAAGGAATGAGTACAAAACCATGGGAAGATGGAGAAAATGACACTACTGATTGAAAGAAGCCAATCTGGAAAGACGACACAATTCAGGAAAAGCCCAAACCGTGGAAACTAGGAAGAGCAGTGATTGCAGGGGTAGGGTAGGTGGAAGGGTCAGGAAGAGGTGGCTAACAGGGCAATGATGGATACACGTAGACACACACATGGGAAGAGCCATAGGACCTTATAGCAGAGAGTGAATCTCCCTGCGAACTGGGTCCTGCTGCGGTCAGTATGCTTCCTCCTCTGTAGAAACCCGCACTACACAGGGACACGATGCTAAGAGCAGGGGAAAGGAAAGGGGGGAGGGATGTGCCAAGGCTGTACTTCCCGATCAGTTGAAGAGCTGGGCAGTGTTGGCGCATGCCTTTAATCCCAGCATTTGGGAGGCAGAGACAGGTGGAACTCTGAGTTTGAGGCCAGCCTGGTCTACAGAGAGAGTTCCAGGTCAGTTAGGGCTACACAGAGAAACTCTGTCTCTCTGTCTCGAGGAAAAAAAAAGGCAATTGAAAAAGTAAGTTGAATCCAGATGAAATGAGAAAAATGGGAATTTTGGAATAATATTGATGTAGATTTAGACCTAGGACTACGGTAAGCATGTGTAGAATGGTGAGGAGCTGTATTTGTTAAATGTGAACAACACAGAAAGAGACTGCTTCACTGAATACCATTGAAGGTATCTCCCCCTGCTCCCTCCTGGCCACCCTGGCACCCCTGCACAGTAGCATTTAACAAATGGCAGGTGTTATGGAGGACTTGGGCTCTCTGGCAAGGAGAAGACCCAATACTTTTACTTTATACCAATGCAAATAGAAATCATTGGTGTCCAGAAAGCAAAGTCAATTTCCTTCTTTCTCACACTGCAAGAGCTACAAACAAATAGAAACAAAAAAAAGAAGGAAGTGGAGGCGGAGGGACATAATTCAGGCTACCCACAGTAGCAGACACAACATACTGGAAAACACTGGGAGTGGCTTCCAGCGGCATGCGCAGTGAGAAAGAGGTGGAGGCAGAGGGACATAATTCAGGACTGGCTCTTATTTTTGTTTTAGATTCCAAAACCTAAGAAGGATTCCTAAACAAACTTTTCTCTCTCCCTCCCTACTTCCTTCCATTCCACCTTTCTCCTTCCATCCCTTTCGTTCTTTCTTCTTTTAAGCAGTATCTAACTGTATCGCCCAAATTGGCCTGAAACTCACAATCCTGCCGCTTAGCCTTCCAAGTGCTGGGATTACATGCTCACACCCAACTTAAGATGCTCCAAATACATGTCAATCCTCCCTCCACATACACAAAAACAAGACTAAAGCCAACAGATCATCTTATTGTGCCCCATCTGGAGAAGAGAGCAGGGAGCCTTACTTTCAGCCCCTGCCCTTGTACCAGGGTGCTCTGCCTGGCTGTGTTTCTGTGACCATCACATAGATGTGAAGATGCATTTGTTAATCATCTAACTGTGAGTGAGGAGCCTCAAAGTAGGACACACAAAGTTACTAGTTCCGCATCACAGAGACTAACAGAAACAATTCTTCATCCACAAAAAAGGAACAAAGCTATCTAATTGGTTCCTGAGGGGGTGGCTCTGACATGGGTCGACACAATTGGCCCAATACTTTTCTTCTTGTAAACCTAGGATTCTAGAAGTTGGAAATGATCATGAGGAACTGGAGCATTCGTGGAGCGTTTGAATTACAAGGTAGCGTGGTGAGAGCATTGGTTGATTTTCGTAGAAATATATTTTCCTAGATGCTTAAGTTATGTCTATTAAAATACTCAAAATATCCTTAGTTTACACATATGCTCTCATAGAATTAAGAGACAATTACCAGCTCAGATTCAGCTGCCACAATATGCTTCATAGACTACTTCTCACTTGCTATAAATATTATCTTACATGCATAGTGCCATTTAATCACAGCTCATATGATTGTTTAGGCTAATGCTTTAAAATCTTGATTTGCAACCCATTAGAGGATTATGAAATAGGAGTCTGCAGTAGCG